AGTATAGTTGGAAGTTTTATGTTTATATATTAATCATAACCATTGAAGCAAGAGTTTCAGTAAAGACATTCCTCTATGATTCGAGTTATTGCAGCTGCCTTTTCTCAGGCAATGTCTCCACCACTAGTTTGAAGTTTAAGAGAAGGAAGCTGGCGAAGAAAAGAAAATAAGAAAAACACATTCCTTCGGTCATGGTGCAGATCTGGGGGGTGTTTCACAAACACTAAGATCGACTTAAAGTTGGACTTAACTATGGCAGGCCGTTCATGCCACTGGTTGCTCCCACTATTGGTCTCTTAATTATGATCTTTAGATATTATTTATTCCTACAATAATGAACTATCAACAAAGTTCTGTAGATTTGTGACCATGATTTGTACGTCCCTTGAGAGACCAATGCCAGTAAACGGTGAGAGCAAACAGTGGCATGAACGGCCTGCCATAGTTAAGCCCAACTTAAAGTCGATCTTAGTCTTTGTGAAACACTCCCCTGGTGATGTTTGTTAGTTCTGCTACTTTCCATTCGAGGAGAAGCAGTTACAAGAGCAGCATGTTCAATGCCATGACAGAGCAGATCTCGAAATGATAACACGTCATGTATATTTTATTATTTTAAAATCCAATCTTACAACCTAATTGAAGGAAATGCATTCAGGGGCAACCTCCATTGTTTTGACAGATAGTCGGGTCCATGATTATAAGCAACAGTGTCAATAATAGATTCTCCTCGATTTAATTAAATCTGGATAACCGTGCAGGCGGAGACTCGTCATTAATTAGAAGTAAAAACAACAGTCGAAAAAGAAAGGGTGTCTTCAAATACAGGAGACTTCGGTGCTAATTTGAATTTCAATTCTTTCCTCATTTTCGTTCGATTTGGACAGAACTGGGACAGCACGACAGAGCCTTCTGGAGGACATTGTCATTGGGTCGACATTTCTCATTTTGGCCGCCTACCCTATGGGTTGATTACATTAAAGTGCGTTCACATTGCTGAAACTCGATCGAAGCGGATATTTCATCATGATTTTCATGAAGTTTTTCGAGGGAATCTTGACAGGATGCTCAGTGAGTTAATATCATGGTTGTTTAAAAAAATGAAAAGTGATTATCATGATAATGGATTTGCGTCAGATTTACTATTGCTATCTTTAACTTTATCCGCTAACGGAATTTAGAATACGAATTTAATTCGGAGACTTCAGAATATCCACAGATCTGTCACACATAAAGACGTCCCACTTTGTGCATTTCAAAGTAATCACTGCCAAAGTGATGGAGGTGCTCCATGAATACCTTTTGTTTGCCCTCTTGAAGAAAAAAATACTTTCACCTGTGAATCATAGAATGTATCGCAGGTGCATAAATAAATAATGATCACACAGCTTGCATAAACACGTATCCAGCTGTCGTCTCGATGGGGATTTTTACAGTTTTAGTACAAACGACTTTTATCTGCCCATATTAAAGTAGAGAATATCTCCGAAGTTCATATTTCCAAGTCCAAGTTACTCTCAGGAAAAGAAAACATTGTTTCAACCACGATTTTGATAAAATAAATCCTTACGGAAAAATGTCCAGTGTTATAGCTGAAAATACTGGCCAACTTTAACTCCATAGTCGATGAGTCTGCCAACAGTAGCGATTCTAGACGGAGGGCATTGATGAGGCTCAAGTCCGTCCCCCTAAAAAAACAATAGAAGAACAAATCGCGAGGTACATGTACAAATGAATGCAAACACCACATGCCCCTAACACCCCTCTTTCGCTTAAGCCCACCACCCCCCCCCCCCCCCCCGCACTCGAATGAAAAACCGCTCCTGTATACGACCAATACGATAATATCGGGCAATGGAAACAGGAGCGGGGCTAGCAGTGGAAAAACGGGACATTTTCAACTCGAGATTCAATATACAGCTGTCCCTTGAAGAGAAGTGCGGAAAGACAAATATCCTGAGCGTGGAGTTTATTCATTCTCGTACCATATATTTATCTGTCTTGTATTTTATATTAAGTTCTTTGCCCCTGTCAATGTTTATTGGTGTCAGGCCAATATGCCTACCTTGTCAATCAAGTGTAATGTTTGTCAATTTGGTCGTGTTTTTCATTCACGCTGACCCCCTAGTTCATCATGTACTCTTAACTTCCTGCAGCCAAATGTTATGTACAAGAGGTTGGTGTTTGTGTTTGTAGCTTGCACTACCCCTTCCCCGTTATTGCCAAGATAGTCTTTTAATTCCAAGATGTTCCAGTCACTCTCCCACTTTTACTTTAAAGTCCCCCCCTCTTTTTTTTTTTAAATTACCCATCAGTGATGACCGTTTATTTTCCTTTATTCCCAATTTTCTAGATACTCTTTACCTGAGATGGCTATCGTTGATCTTTTGAAATCTTTCATGATGACATCAATAATAATGATGCTTATAATATAGTATAGAGTAATAATGATAATAATGAAGTACTTGACATGTATTCAGCGCTTAATAGTGTATTTGTAGTCCCATTCGCATTATTCAATCATAATTATTCGATTTCAGGTAGCCTACTTATATTTCTTATTTTGACTTCAAATTTTCGGAAGAGATAAAGGAACCATGAACGATTATGTAAACAAAGGAGTGAGCAAATTACTATTTCACTAAATCACCTCATTGGTGTTAATTGTAGACAAGTACCACTCACGACTTCCAACTAAATCTGTCGCGAGCAGTCACATCTACTCATGGAACGATGATAATAATAATCAAATAATAAAAACGGTGCTTATAAAGTGCTACCACCGGTGTCTCTAAGCGCTATAACAAGAAAAACACAATCATTTTGTTGTTGTTGAAATAAATCTTTATTCAGATAAAATCATGGATAACATCATACTTAAATATTCATAACAAGCACTTAATCACATGTTTAAATGAAATGAAATCAAATTATATATCTGTATTTACTTGAAAGAAGATCGTAGATGCATTTGCTGTAAATCAGTAATTAACTTTCTCCACTTAGTAATATTCACATCTGTTGTCTTAGTTTTATTTTCTCTACTTCTAGTCTGTATTTCAACAAAAATAAAAAAAGTATTTGCTTATTATTTTCGTTACTACATTTTTATCAAATTGATTTACAACACTCGATTTATAGATTGCAAAACACAATGATACACAATTACATATTAAACAAAACAACAAAAATTCTACTGATCATAATGTCAAGCAGTAAACGATGATAGTATGCAGACTTATTCGCTTGGTTTCATTCTATGTTACATTCACTGACGACTGTATTTTTCTATACCGCCTCCTTTTCTCCTTTGCTCCCCCTTTGCTTATTTTTTCTCCCAAATTTAAAGCATTGTGTTGATGGGAAATTTGGTTTTGTAATAATTTTAAGATAACAAGATGTTGTATAGTTTGTTTTATTTAATAATTTGTGAAAAGTACATTATGTTAACAACAACCACTGGAACGGGGACAGAAGGCTTTTTGTCACAGTTATAAAAGGTTAATTGATTTTGTCCCTCGCGTTCCAACGGTGGTTGTATTATCTATTATTTTGCTATGTCGTCTATTTTATGATTTGTTATGTATTTTCTTTGTTACCAAATATAATAACATAATTAATACTAATAATTAATAGTAATGGTCTCTACCCCCAAAAAATAAATATAAAAAATCAAGTTTTTTTTTTTATCGCAAAATAATCATTGGGTTCACCATTACCTGAGATCACGCCAGTCAACGTGTTTCAATGTCGTATAAAGTATCATTTTTTTTTATCTAACAATTGCAAAAGGGTGCACCTTCCACCCTCCAGATCTGGTGAAAAACGGTGAAGCCCTGCTTGTCGTTTGTCTCTCTTGATTTTTCAATTTATTTATTTTTATATGGGGGTTAGGGATGTTTACACCTATGCGCTCGATACGTCTGACGCCTAGATAATCCACAGAATGATTGAAAGTGTGAGAGACTGATTTGTTCTAAATAGGCTATACTTTTCTTCTTCTAGTTGTACAGAATAAATAGAATAAAAGAGGGGCCTGATGTGTTCTTAGGCCATCGTTTTTACAATCTGATTCAATTATCATTTAGTTGTTAAATGGATTCGGTCTTCCTTTTTTGTTTGCCATGCTCTTCTGTAGGAATCTTTTTGACGATCTTGCGATTTGGCCCAAGGCTTGTTTAGTGACAGAACGATCATGCAGTGGCGGATCCAGGGGGGGGGGGGCCCGGGGGGCCCGGCCCCCCCCCCCCTTGAGAAAAAAATCATGTAAATCACGTGATTTTTACCTTTTTTGGGGGTTGGGCCCCCCCCCCTGGCGCTCAAGGGGGGGGGGGGGGGGGGGGGGGTGCAAATTGAAATTTTTTTGAGGATCAAAAAAAAAAAAAATGTGCTCACTACCCCCCCCCCCCCCCCCCCCCCCCCCCCACTGAGCGACTTTTCGGCCGGCGCGATTTTCAAATTTTCGGGAGCAAAAAAAAAAAAAGTTGGGCCCCCTCCCTTAAGAAATCCTGGATCCGCGCCTGCGATCATGTTATTACAGGCTGATTGGTATAAACCATTACGAATGACGAATTGTTTCCCGCGGTTTTGGATTTTCAGAAGAAAAAATTGCGTGTAGTAAATTCACCCATAATAGCTTGAAAACTCTGTATCTGCAGCCGCTCTCAGTCCACTGAGGTGTCATTAAGATGGGAGTTCCAAGATGGCAGTATGGTACTCCACGGTTAATGAATCATTGACCGCACACACGATTCCACATTGCATTATACTACATTAAGCTCGAAGGATGGGATGTGAGAGTTCAGTGGTTCATGACAGATTCATGACAGGTACAAAAATCTATAATGGACATTTTATTTTTTAAAAATCACAAAAACTCGAAATAAACTATTTAATTTAATAAATTTTTATAATAAAATATTATTAATTTTTTTAAATTGTTAAAAAAAATAATGGTTTTCAGCGATGCGAATTTAATCTTAAATATTATAGAACGAGGATCTTTTATGTGATTCTTGCCGCGACATTTTGTACGGAAAGCTAATCGAAAGTCGAGTTCCTGCGAGAAAAAACGCTGCATTTCCAATGGTTTCTAAAGTGAACGCAGTCTTTCGTCATTTATTTGGGTCTGAGAGACATCAATCCAGTTCTGGATCGAGAAAACGTCCTTCAGAAAGGTAATAAGATCGATTATTTTCAAGAAAACTTTAGGCTACATTATTATTAATCGGTCCCATGTGTAGTAATATAAGTTGGTTATATAATGTACAGTGTCAATAGAGAGCGGATGCACACACACATAGCTGCATTACTGTACATTTACACAATATTTTGTAAAACCTGCTGCAGCTACTGTACTAAAATTTTATCATAAAATAAACACTCAACATTAATGATAAATAACATTAACAAACAAATAAAATTTAGACTAGACTCTACCACCAGTTTCGTTTATGAAATTTTTACTTGTGAAGTTGAGTTTCCGGTAATTCTAGCTAGCAACACAACAGTTTGCTGAGCCATCAGTAGGGGCGCTGTCCGAGAATAAGAACTGTCCGCATAAACAAGGATCGTCTTTGTAAACACGGACAGACGTATCGAGTCTGCAAAAATAAGGATCCTCTGCATTTTCGCTGACGATTCTTCCGATCCGCGCATTGGCGATGCGAAAAACAGATTCCGCGATAATTTTCTTGATGCTTTTCACATTGAATTTGTACAGAGACTTTCACATTATGAGCGATAAATCCTCAGGAAGACGGACAACCCATAAAAGTAGACGATTAACTGGGGGTATTTTATTATACTGAATCCGTTTTTTCACAATGACATGCCTTATCAATAGGGCTGTGCACAACAGTGTAATGAGGTACCCGAGTACACTCCCAGGCTCACAGGCGAATACTTGAATATTCGGACGCCATGTTTTTTATATTTTTTTTGAATTTTTTGAATTTTTTTGAATTTTTTTTTTTTGTTGTTGAAAATTCTTCCCATAGAGATTACACGCATCCCTATGCAGTCTACGTGCATTGCGCGACCATGCAAAAAAAGTCATTTTTTTTTCTTCAAATCGAGATTCAAACCTTTATCTGTTGTGATCCTGAAGGTGATAATCAATGAATGAGGTGTCATATGAAAGAGCAGGTGAATTCCAATATTTCCAAAGGGGCGTAGCCCCCGAAATTCTAAAAATATCTTGGTCAAAACAGCAATTTAAACATTGTGTCCTGGCTAACTCTGAGGTTTATCACTTTTGAGATATGACGCCCCGATCGATAAGTAGTCCCAGTCCTAAGGAACAATTCTATGTGATTATATTTTCGCTAGCCCCCAGGGATCACAACTGATAACAGTTTAAAAATACCCTTCTCGCTATTTGGTGGATCAGCTACATGTAATTAGGGGGCGTGCGCTCCGCTCAGTCCAAACCATGGTTACATCGCGTAACATCTCCGCGCACGAACGAAACCCCAAATTCAATTACACATTATAGTGACTGAAATTATGGTTGGCAATTCCCTCGATAAACCCGGAAGTGAATACACGTTATAGTCAATGGCAATATTGCGGAGACAACGTGCGTTGTCTCCGCGATATTGCCATTGACTACAACGTGTATTCACTTCCGGGTTCTACGGCGCGAATTGCCAACCATACTAGTCAATGGCACATATCGCGGAGACAGCGTGGCTCAAGCTGCAAGTCGCGCATTGGCTTAGCAACATGCGTACTATATGCATACGCTTGCATATCGCGCGATACAGCTGTTTGTCTGAATTTAGCAAAACAACATCACTCTGCGTGGACGTCTTTTTCGTCGATTTTGACCAAAATGATATGAATATACCAGCGTTTTGGAGGGGCTGTACATTTGTAACTTTTGATAGAAACATCGGTGAGACTTGAAATTTGAAATGTATTATTCTGATAACATTTTTTATTCAAATAGCAAACAAAAATGGTGAAAAACGATCCCAAATTGAAAATTGAAAAATCGTTCAGACACCCTACCTTTACTTCCTATTTATTATCATTTCTTGTTTAAATCATGAAGCAAATATTATTATTATTTAAACAAAAAAAGAATCCCAGAAAAAAATCACGAAATTGCCATGACAATATTAATTTCAATTTTCACTGTTTCGGAGTCAGTTATCGGCATAGCGAACCAGTTTTCGGCCGCATGTACAAAGTCAATAGGAAGTGCGCGCGCGCGCTGTGCGTTTCCGCGCTGATCTGGAGTACTAGCGGGCGGAGCAGGTATCCCACGCCGGAGCTCCCCGGAGCTCGCCAGGCCGAAAACTAGTACTGCAGTGATCGGACATTGGAATCTGAATTAGACAGAGATATTGTGTGTGCGTTGCGGTGTCTGGCTGCATTGATTTAATACATGCGGTGAGATACTTTTGAGCTTGCGACCAGCACAAAATCGGGCTCTTAATCTGAAAAATACTTGGAATAAAGCTCATTTTATGGTACCCATATTTCTTACAGACACGCGTAAGATACTCGATTTTTCAGATTTGGGTAGCGGGACCTCCGATTACATCGCTAAAATGTGATATTTTACATGCAGGATTTATTTTTCATTGCAAATGTGGTTCTTCAGTGACTCTGGCATGGTATGGTATGTGTGGGATATGTGATATGCTATTATGCGATGTATTTTAAAGGGATTTTACCATGCATCCAACCAATCGGCCGAAAACTGAAGCTGGTTAATTACCCCCTCCTTTATCTATACACAAATATACACACCACACAATATCGCATAGACTCTAGACTTACAATTTGAATTTTTAAATCATTCTTTTTAACATCAGTAAGTTAAAAAAAATGTATTTCACTGCTATTTAGGTGTCATCAATTGTCACTAAAGAACCAATTTTGAGTGAAATCGGTTGAGTTTTGTACAGTGGTGTTTGAAATGTTGAGAATTCTAAAGATGCAAAAACTTACTGAAATCACCATATAGAACCTAGCATGCATCATGCTGTTAAGAACACGTGTGGGATAATCTCACCTGCCAACCAGTACGATTTAGTCGTATTTTGTACGATTTTTAGAAGCAAATACGACAGTTCAATTTTCTTCAATAAAATACGATTTTCAAAACAAAAACAAATGATTATTTTATTTATTATTTTTTTTTAAAATTTAAATTTGTTCATCAATAAATTCATTTTCAATGGCGAAATGCCCATTCTGTCCTGTAAAGTATCCTTCAAGCATCTCACATAGGCAATTTGGGGATGTTTATTGGTTCATCGAACACACCAGTCGATTAAAGAGATTAAAGAATACAGTTTTTGAACTCCAGAGGTTGGCAGATCTGCACTGCTCTACCAACTGAGCTATCGCACCTCCTCTTAATGTTATAACTAGTAACCATCCACAGTATCTCCCCACAAGCAATAGATTTGTACAAGTGCTTTTCTCACTCATGTGAAGGACTGATAAACTTACATTCCCTCTGTCTGTCTGTCTTTGCAGCCTCGATGATGTGAGTCAAGACATCCTTGAGACACCCCGACCAAAAAGGGCCAGGAATTCCATTCATGCAGGTAAGAATCGCTTCCCCCATAATAGAGGTTTGTGATTTATTAGAACATAAGTGAATTAAACATGCATACCAATAGTAGTGGGCTCTCATGGGGAACTTGACATCATCATGCAGGTGTTTACCAACTAACAGGTGTTGTCAAACACCAGGGACCCGTTTCTCGAAGCCTTTTTCCAATGAAAAATGACAAAAATCAGTCACAAATCTGCTGATAAGCAAGGATTTCAGTAGCTTATAACAAAAACTGTCATTTGTCACTGATGACAAGTTTTGGGAAATGGGGCCCAGGATTAGTCTTCACTTTTATGACCAACAGGCTTGTTTTAATGCTCTGCATTTTCCACCAATCGTCCCATATGGAAAAGTCATTATCTTACTTCTCCCTCACCCAAAGACTCTCTCTCTCAGTGCCATACATGTATCGATTGAAGTTGGCGATCATGCTGTTCCACAATCCTCGGTTCCTAGCCTTCTCTATTAGCACCACTCCCAGTTCTTTCACTCCTCTCTCTTCCAACAATTTCTGCAGACTGTCCATTCAAAGTATCCTCCTTCTTTCCCAACTCCTCCTTCCTTCGCAGAGACTAGGGGATATTTCATGATAGACGGGTTTGATGTTATTTCATAGAACAAATGTTGTAGAGGATTCTAGAGGTATATGATTTTATTGCTTGTTTGTCATTCAGATGACTCGAGTCGGTCTCGAGCGACCACTCCCCTCGTGAAAGTAGCCAATTGGATTCATCAGAAGGCCTCCACCTTTGGGGAGACGTACTTCTTCCGTCCTGTGGGAAACCTGGTACAGAATACCTATCCCTCACCGATTCCAGGAACATCAGATGGCAACCATCTGCAGCATTCACAGGTTTGTTTATCTGTAGGCCTACCCATGTCATGTACTTTTGTTGCATATTCCGCTGTAACAAACATCTTTCACATGTAATGTGTCAATTTCCAATTACTGCATTCATGAAACTTGTAACAACAACAAAATAGATAAATGAAATTTAGGAGAGAGACTGTGGGAAGACTTCAAAGCTTTATAGAGAAAGAGTGAGTGAGTTTGAGAAGGGGTGGGGTGGAGAAGGTATAAGGAGGGGGGAAGGAAGAGGTTAAATTTATCTTTAAAAAATATGTAGAAGAAGAAGAGTTACACCATCAACACTTATTTTTGAACCAGAATGTTCTTTTACTTTTGTCCACATTCTCTTTAATACAGGTCATGAGTGATACACCAGGTGAGCCAGTAAAGAGTAAAAATGTGAACACAAATCAACCTGTCAAAGTACATGTAGACTTCAAACAACCAGGTACATATTTCTAATATTTCTTATATTACTTATTAAAATGAAGAATAATACATATTTCTCTTTAAAAAAAAAGCATATCCATGTATCTGACTACATGTATCAGTCAACCTCCTCACACCTAAAGTTTTTGATATGTTGAATTTATAGAGTACATGTAGGTATTGCATGTGTTCCTAGATCCAGGCTCTTTCTATCCAGTTTGATATACATATGTGTTTGAAAATACTGTGAATGATGCGATGTTAAAGGGGTTGTAGCATGACAAGAAAATGTGTCTTTCCTGTGGCCTGACTCGGGGGCCAATCAGGCATAATACGACTACGGACGACTCGATCGGCAAGTGGTCTATGGTGCAACATGAAACCGAAGCGTGAGGAAAACTTTGGTCCGTTATTCGAACGCTAGCTCCCGCTGACAGTAAATAATAAAGTCCATTCGTTTATGTGCAGTTGTCCAAAAGAAGGCGTTAACCAGTATTTGCCATGCTACACCCCCTTCAACAGTTTTATTCTTTGCCGTAGATGGAATACCTCATCATAAATCAGCTTCTAACACAAGTCAGCACCAACTCAAGCAGCAACCCCACCACTCTCATAACAATGGACGGCAGTTAGAGAGAGACAGCCTGCAGGGGATAGGGGGAACAAGAACAGTGTCAAAAGAACAACCTGCTAACAAAAGGTTAGTTGTCACTTTTTTCTGAGGTTTTTATGAACTGAGGAATCTGTCATATACAGTGTTGGTCAAAAAGAGGTTTACACCTAGAAAATTGCTAATTATTTGAAAAATCATCTATGAACAGTAAATTATTATACATCTTATGAAAGAGTGTTTTATCCCGATTCATTTAGTATCATTTGTGTGTGGTATGTGTTCACGCTTGGATGAACAGGAGACAATGTTTAAGAGAGTGCAAAAATCACCTTGTGTCAAAGTAATGCTTGAATTTGATGTTTGAAAACAATTGGGATTTGGGTATCAATTCGGTCATTGCAGATCCAAATAACATCCGTAACAAAATCAATCATGCCACACATATCAAATATCAAAGAATATTTGTGCGTGTGTGTGTGACTTTGCTTCTGCTCAAAGCATATGCAATGCATCTCATTTGATACATTCAATTCATTCTCTCACTTGAATACTTTTGTGCAAGTCGATTTTTGCACTCTCACAAACAATGCCTCTTGTTCATCCAAGCGTGAACACATACCACACAAAACTGATACCAAATGATTCGGGATATAACACTCTTTAAAAAAGAAGTTCAAAGGGTTATACATGTATATGAAAAATAGCTTCTTTCTTCAATTATTTTATTTTTTTCTTTTTATCTCAAACAATACACAGTTCAACGTCCCACCTTGGGAACTCATCTATGGCAACCACCAAGCATGGTAGCTCATCTGTGGCTGCCACCGGTCTGTCCAAGCATGGTAGCTCCTCTATGGCTGCCACTGGTCTGTCCAAGCATGGTAGCTACACCCCTGTCAGGGATAAGCTGTTCCCACATCCCAAGAGAAGAGTTGTACTTACTCAGGCCTCTAGAGGACATCCTCACATACCAACCAACACACAAACGGTCAACGAGGTAAGATCTGTCTTTCACAAGTCCTGTATTTTGTCATTCTTACATGTTTGTGTCCTACTGTGTTGTTAACTTATGGGCTTACATTTGAATTTAGACCCCTTTTTTACACAAATGATGCATGTTTCAATCCTTCATTATATGATCTATCCGCCCTCTTTGAGGCTGTGTGTATCTATTGCACTCAGCCTTACAGCTTCTTGCAATAGATACACACAGCCTCAACTCGAGCGTGGATAGATCGTGTAATGAACTCATGCGCATGCATCATTTGTATATTGTCAGGTGTCCTGAAGGCTCCACTGGTACTTGGACTTGGTTTATATTCGGAGCAGATTGAGACTTCTTCAAAATAGATTTAAAATGAGTACTTATAATCAATTTTGTTCTTGTATATCTCATATCACACTCAACATCAAGTTAGACCAGTTTTTACTCTTCATCAGATTGAGTTTAATAAGAATATGGACCACACTCCCCATGGAACGGAGCATGTGCACTCTCATTTGCGGATTAGCAATTTAATCCATATATACATTCTTTCTTAGCAGTCATGTAAAAACTAACAAACAAACATATTTACTGAAAAACTTTCTTTTGTTGACAGTGTGTAAGGTTAAAAGAGAGACAGCAATACAAGCAGCTATTGGAGCAGTTTACCATGGGTAGTCTGAAGCCATCCTTTGACTCAGAGGCCACTTTGAATGAGAGCAAGGCAAAACCAGCTGCAGTAAGGTAACCCATCTACTCTTAAAGCCCCATTGTCCTACTTGTAGCTACTTGCTCCCTCTATATAGAAAACTTCCCTAATCAGTGCCTGTTGGTCCCCCATGATCCGCTTTTTCTTATGTTAGTTGAGAGCAGAGTTAATGAGATAGCCACCTGTCAGTGATCTCGCTGTGTTGTCTAATCCCTTCTGGCCCAGTAGTATTGACAGTCTTTAACATACACCAGACACAGTCACATTAATCATGTGTACAATCATATATGAATATGCTCAACTATATTTTAATAATGAAAATGTAAACAATGGTCATGATTTGAGTTTTCTGATTTTAACCAAACCATATTGATGAAGAGATTTATAATAATAATAATAATAATTACAGTGCTTATAAAGCGCCTAACACTTACTTTGTCAGAAGTCTCTAAGCGCTCTACAATAATGCAGCATAATTACCCTGGCTTTAGCAGTGCAGCTGTTACGCTCGCTGCATTTCAAGGAATAAATTCCTACCAGGTACCCATTTACTTCACCTGGGTGGAGTGTGGCAAATGTAGATCAATGTCTTGCCAAAGGACATTAGTGCAGTGGCGGGACTCGAACCGCGGACCTTGTGATCGACAGTCCGGCGATGTATCCACTCGACCACAACACCTCTACTAATAATACGATCATGTAAATATGAGGGAGATACATGTATGTCAGTTAAAGCAATGACATTAGTTTATAAAGTCATCAGTAGGTTTTGGTCCATATACCATAAGTAGCTACACTTTAATCTAAAAGCTGTAAACACAATACCTCTATAGCAACATACTTCTATATACAAAGATCGTAGAAGGGGATAAAGTAACAATTACAAAAACTGTTGAATTAAAAGATCTGTACTAAAGAGAAGAGTTGGTTTGTCAAGTCCTTAACCCATAATGTTCATTTAGTGTGAGGTCACTAGTGTTTGAAAATATGAGCAAAGCTAGTTTTAAGTATTATATGACATGAACTATTGCTGTGAAGTTTTCATGGAGAGAAACGCTAAGGAGAAAATCTGTTATCTCAAAGCTTCACCCAATTTCAATTGTCTGTAAATTGTTTGTGTATACACCAATGTTAAAGACGACCTTTTTCTTTTGTAGCCTGGGGGGGGGGGGGGGGGAAGGGTGCAGGATTACCTAAGATTTGTATGCATATATTTTCTAATTATATTACAGAGCACTTTTTTATTCTCAAAGGGTCTACAAAATACAAGCCATGCTTTTTTAATAGACTCCTCCACTATGTTTTACCACTGTGCCAATCTTAAATGATTTATTTAAATAATTGTATAATCATTTGTAAAATGTTTGATATTATGTTTTGATGTGGAAAAAATAAGGAAACCTTAAAACATTCCCCTTACAGACCGAAGCAAGCAGTCCCGACAGCCAGCATAGCAAGCAGCCGTCTGGAAGCCCCTAGTCAGAGCCAGAGGGGTCCTCAGGAGCGGGCGGGGCTACGTGTTCTCCCCCATCAGTTCTCCACCCAGCATGAGATGAGGGAAGCTGTACGTCAGAGACTCCATGTACCAAGCAGTCTACTTAGTCCAGGTACCCCCGAGGGAGAGAGAGCTGTTCCTGCTACTCCTGCTCAACCTGGTATGTGTGTCTTCTTAGCCCATTATGTTAGCACAGTGGATGCATGGATATTCGGATATACATGCACTGTATTTTTCATAGACTTCATCCTGGGTTATCTTGTTGATAATGATAACAACAAAAATAATGATGATGATGATATACTCCTCTTCTTGTTTCTTTATTTTAGCAGTGTTTAATTTGTTCAAAATCTGTGAAATTTTAATTCAACAGCATTTGTTATAAATCACTCCTTATTATTTTCTTTTTTTTCCTTATCAGATTTTGGCGAGGCAAGTCCACCGCTCACCATCATAGCCAGCAAGCCTGGAATGAGTGCCTTTCAGAAGAGTTTAATGTCAACACCTTACCTATCTGAAGATTGGGTTCATGATTTGTAAGTTTTTCTTTTTCTTTGCTTCAAGAGAGAAATATATTCCTTTCATTGTATTTCCATATTAGGGTCCATTGGTTAAAGGGGAAGTCCACCCTGAAATTAAGTTAGTTTTAATAGGAGTAGAAAAATGAGAGAAACAAGTCAGTGAAAGTTTGAGCAAATTCCGATTAAAAATAAGGAAGTTAGGATTTTTGAAGTTGTGATCAATCAAACACAAATTGGCAACTCTATGACGTATCATGCGAGCTCAACTTCCATTTGCTCAGTACTAAAATAATCTAAAATTTTCATTTTCCCTCAAGAAAAATTTCAACCATACATGCACCCTAAATATAATAATTGCAAATATGTTTCTATACTCCCCCTGCAAGGAACAAATATATATTCCGTCATCAATAACGAAGAAAACATGATTTTATGGAATATTATGCACAAAGCAAATGAAGGAGAGCTCGTATAATAAGTCACAGAGTTGCCAATTTGTATTTGATTGATCACAACTTCAATAATTCATAACTTTCTTATTTTCATTCAGAATTTGCTCAAACTTTCACTCACCTGATTTTCTTATTATTCTGCCTCTATCGAAACACACTTATTTTGGGGGTGGACTTTCCCTTTAAAGTTGTGGCATTCCATGGCCGCCAACGTCTCAGGACATGGCACGTAAAGAAGAAGGTTAAAGTTCATAACCTTTCAACCTTATCTTACTTTGCTTTACTCTAATCCAACGATGCTTGTATGACTAGACTTGTTCATCGATCACTTTGGTTTGCAACAGATATATTGTTACCTGGTCATCAGATTCAGGTCAAATACCAAATTCATAGTAGGGCTTGACTCTATCAAAGTATCAATTCAAGTTATGATTTAAAATCACCAGATAATAGCAAAATAGCAAAAACGAAAAAAAAGATTTGAATTAGGAATATAAATTATATATTTTTTTTTACCATTTTTGTTTTGTGACTTTCATTTTGAAAGTTTTTTGTGTGAAATAGAGCTCATATTCATAAAACCCTACTAAGCTTACATGTAGTTTTCAACTAACTATGTACTATAGCCTATGTAATTAGTTGACAACTAGCTTTGTAAGCTTTTATGAATATGGCCCAGGTAGCCGCGTTTCTTTGTGGAATTCTATGTGTGTATTATTTCTATTTGTTTAAATTCTTATTACCGTACAGAAAAGCCCGCTTTGAATCAAGTGTGCGTGTCAGACAGAGTGAGATTGAAAAGGAGAAATTCAAACTCCAGGGCTATGAAGAAAGGGTAAGAAACCTCAAGCAATGATGCATGTTCTCTTAAATAGTCTGTTTGTTTGCCTCAGGATTTTGCCTGCTTAAGCCATTGATCAAAGGAAAAGAAAAGCTAAATGCCTTTTTGGCTGTAAGGACACTTTATTTTCTCAGTCTTCTTTGTGAGGGAAAATACTATGTTTCTATTATTCATAAAATGGGGGCAATCCAAAATTTATGAGAAACAATGATTTGTAAATTGAACATGTTTTGCAAATATTTGGATTTATATCTTAACAAAAAACATTTAAGGCCTTTAAAAAAAAGAAGATGTTGTGTTGCCCTTTAGGTGCCAAAACATGGGTTGGTCGGTCAGAAATCTTTTTTTTTTACTCCCTCTTTGGGCTGATATTACTCAGTTTTGAAAGCTTTAATACATTTCTTTCTCTAAGAAAGTTGAAAAAAAAAGCCAACCATATATTTCAAGATTTTTGGGTCGGTCGCAAAGGGCAATACAGCATCTTTTTTATAGGCCTAATTGATTTAATCATTGATAGATGGAAATTTTAGGGGTTGAATACAAGTGTTTAATTGAGTTAACAATACCTGTAGCCTTAATTGTAGTATGACAAATGCTTCATGTATCCTCACCATTTTGATCGCATTCTCTTATTCCTGTAACTCCATGCCATTGATGAATATTGTAATTTCCATTATCTTCTCAGAGAGCTGAAGGACAGGCTAAAGCCAGGGAAGTGGTGAGTTTCAGCAAGTCTTTAAGGGGGTATCTCACTGAGCAGCGAGTGCTTGCGATCAAATTTGGATTTTGCCAGGGTTATTAAAAGGTTGTAAGAAAGTTTTTCTTGTCACAACAGTTGTAAGCATTTGCAAAACAGTCGTAAGCCATTGCAAACAGTTGTAAGACGGTGTCACTGAAGTTCGTTTTGATTCACCAATGTTAGCGACCACGCTACCATATGGTTCCTAAAAATTGACCTATTGAGTACCAGGAGATGGCAAAAGGTCCCAAACATTCACAAATAGTGGCAAGGGCAAAGGGATTGGCAAATAGTTTGCTAATCTTTGCAAATAGTGTCGCTAACATTTGCTTGCAGTCACCAACTGCCTTTCGCAAACACTTTCGCAAACATTCGCTCAAATGTTGCCAATTGTCGCTAAACATCGCTGATTTTCGACATTCTTCGTCAGAAAAGTTGGCGAATCCAAATTCGCAACGTTCGTAAGCATTCGCCGCTCAGTGAGATACAACCTTCATGGCTTCCATCATGTGTGCATATTAATGTTAAGCTTGAGTTCTGGTTATAATAGAAAATAAATTCTCACAGAATCCAACAAAACTTACACTGAATGTTCAAGATTATAAATAGATGACATGTGCCGAACGATTTTGGTAGAAAATATATACCGGTAGGTAGGGGCCGAGTAATGAGCATAGAAAGATAAGGACAGATGATTTCCAGCAAGTTGTTGTGAGGTTGTTTTTTATTTTACTGGTTCAAACAATCAATCTACTGCAGCAAAAAAAAAATCCAGAATGAATTATAGCCATGTTCTCTCCACATTTGATTCCCATACCAGAGCTCAAGATAAGCTTTAATATGTAATTTTCAATGCATTCCATTTATTTGTTCAATGTACATACAACAAAGATAATAAATAATGGCTCAGATATAGTTTACAAAGAAAAGAAATAAGATACAAAAATGAATATATTATTGGTAATGACAAAATACTACTTACGGTATACAATGAGGTTGATTTTTGTTTGGTTATGGCTTGTTTTGTTTCTACTTGAGGTTGGACTTCTGCTTTAGAAGTATTGAATAAACTTAAGATATGAGCCAGTTCTTATCTGCCTGTGTTTGGTGTAGATCAATCAGAGGATAAAGAGAGCGTCAGGTTTGCCTGCAGCCGTTGAAGACGTCATCTACCGACCAGAGGAGAAGGAACCAGAGGATGCCATCGCGGTGATCGATGATGATGAGGAAGATGAAGAGGAGGAGGATGACGGTATGGAAGAAGAGGAAGAGGAGGAGCTCCCAGAGCTAACGGATGAGATGGAAGAGGAGATTCGCAATGCCCTTAACCCTAACCCAGCCAGTGAGGGATTGGTTACCGGGTTTAGATTGACTATTAAGAGGAGAGATATGCAGACCCTTGCTGGTTTAAACTGGCTGAATGATGAGGTAGGGGAACCATCTCAAAATATTGTTATCTCCCTTATTTGTTATCAGTAGAGGTGTCGTGGTCTAGTGGATATGGCACTGGACTGTGGATCACTAATGTCCTTTGCCAAGTCAATAGTCTACATTTGCCACTCTCCACCCAGGTGAAGTAAATGAGTACCCGGTATGAAGAAACTCCTTGAATGCTTTGGCGCCTTATTATGGCAGGTCAGCTTACAGCCGGGGTAATAATATGATTCTTTGCATTTAGCGCAGTAGAGCATGTTCTTGTAACTGCGCTATATGAGCCGCCAACCAGTACAATTTATCGTATTTGGTACGATTCTTAGAAGTAAATACGATTTTCCTCAATAAAAAAAGATATTTACCACAACAACAAAAAAACGATTTTGTGTATGTGTGCTATTTTTAATGTCAAAATGCCCATTCTGTCCTGTAAAGTATCTTAAAAGCATCTCACATCGGCAATTTGGGGATGTTCATTGGTTCATTGAACACACCAGTCATTACGAAATCGTGCATAATTCAACCAATGATCCATAACAAAAATTCTTCCTGTATGTAGGAACTATAAGAGGCATTGATCCATGTTTTGTTTTTTCCAATATAATTTTTGTCAGTAAAATACAACTTTTAGGATTAAAGAATACAGTTTTTGAACTCCAGAGGTCGGCAGGTCTGTGTAAATGGACCTATTATTATTATAAATATCAATGAGATGTACATGTATCCATAAATATATATGATTATATCTGAATACACTTTTGCACCCAACATACAAATGCATTTGAAGATAATTACACAATGCTTTTTAAGTTTATGCATGTTCTTTCTGTGCAAGATATTTTTAATTTAAAGCCACACTGTCCTACTTGTAGGTACTTGCTCCCTCTATACAGAAAACTTCCACAATCAGTGCCTGTGGGTCCCCCATGATCTTCTTTTTCATATCTTAATTGAGAGCTGAGTTAATGAGGTAGCCACCTGTCAGTGACCTCGCTGTGTGGTCTAATCCCTTCTGGCTGAACTAGTACAGCCTGCCTTTAATTCAATTTTGTTTTCTTTTGATGCAGATCATGAACTTTTATTTTGAAATGCTGAAGGAAAGGAGTAAAGAAGAGGTGAGGAATAGTTTTTATTTGAATTTTGCAAGTCTAGTGTATGTACCGATCTGAAATTTACATGTTTTTTTTATTTGACAGATTGGGTATACATGTACATGCACGACAGAGTTAGGGCACTATTTAAAGAAAAGCTTTACGTGATATTGAAACTGACTTTAATGTGTAAAGATTGTTTATTTAATAACTAAGGGGGAGGAGTAAACCATACTGTTGTTGTTGCTGCTGTAAGCCTTACATTACATACACCTGATACAGCCTGTGAATATGTCCATGTAGTCTGGGTTTCAACTTGTTTTTAAAGGGGCCTTATTGACATTTGTAGGGTCTATATGCATGAGCCCACTGTTAAAATTTAAAAATATGGGGGAGGGGTCCTAGGTTAGAAATTGGGGTCCTTGTGTCCCGGGCATCTGTTAGTGTCTAGTCTATACCTGGGCCCTATCTAATATAGAGTTGGTATAAATCGCAACTTATTTGCGATTGATAAACTACATACATAAGAGATATGAGACTTTAAACTTGGTAATAATTTGAAGACTTGCGATTGATTTGGGTCAATCGCAACTCTTTATAAGATGGGTCCCTGATGTTCCTAACCAATGCATTGAATGATTCATTTGTTTGTTTGTTTGTTTTCCAGGACTACCCGAGTGTGCATTCTTTTAACACATTTTTCTACCCCAAGTTGATCAACTCTGGTTTCGCCAGCCTTCGTCGATGGACCAAGAAGGTGGACATCTTCACGAAAGACCTGCTTCTGGTTCCGGTCCATCTAGGAATGCATTGGTGTCTAGCGGTAAGTTGATGGTCGTTACGTAGGATTATAGCATGCAGGGATGTTTAGTTTGATTGATGTTTTACATGGTTATAACATCAGGGACCCGCCTTCTTAACAGTCACGATTAATCGTAACTTATTTGCAATTGATATCAATCACAACTATGTATGTAAGAGACAGGAGACTGCAAACTTGCGATTGATTGGAGGACTTGCGAATGATTTAGATAAATCACAAGTCTTTATAAGACAGGCCAAGGTGTTCCTTTCTTGAGAAATGTACAGCCCCATGACTCATTATTTTTTAATGCTTAAACCTTTTATTCAATTTTAGCTACGATATTTCACTCAAGGTTTTAGCCAAAATATTGATAGTTATTGTTCATATTTAGAGTACTAGTTGTGTCACATAGGTTTGAGTTTATACATCAACAATACAGATGAAATGCATCCATCACATTGTTGTAATAAGACAAAGCCCTATCTACTTTTAGGGTTATGTTATACCGTCATCTTATATAAATGGTACATATTTCAATAATATGTAATGTATGTAGCTGCACTGCTACGTCTTAGGTTTCGTTCCAGTGTGTGGTTGCTTAATTTCCCCTAAATGGTATTTATCTTGTTCTCTTTTCAATTGTCATAGGTTGTGGACTTCAGGAATAAAACCATAGTATTCTATGACTCGATGGGAACCCACAATCAGCAATGTTTAGACGCACTGAGGTGAGTTTTGTTGCTGTAAATAATCTGTGAGCATTATCATTGTTATTATGCAAGTGTGGAAGAACATCAGAGGAAAAATGTTCCATGAAAAGTGTGGCTCTTCAAATGCCTTCATATTCTGAATTTGACGTGTAACAGCTTAAAAATGAGAACCACATTTTTATGCCACATGTTTGTTTAGTCCCATATACTACATCTTTCTGCATACAGCGATTGTTACTTTTACCAAGACTGGGCCAAATTTCTTATCATTTTGATGATTCCAGAACCTTGCAGTACACGCAAATACCTATATGCTACGTGATCAATTTTTGTGAACGATTCCACACCGTTTATTTCACAATGCAGTCGCATGACCAGAACTCAACATTATCTTGAGACATTGAATATAATGGCGTATGTATCTTCAATAAATTAACACACTTTTATTGTCATAAAACTACAAACGGTTTTACTTTGCTGTGTACATTTCCAATATATATTATTATGTAATCATTGAAAACAAATTAATGAACATTTCAAACAAATGAGTTATAATATGACATTTTGTATTAAGTGAAGTAGCTTATATTCATGTGTGTGTGTATTGGGTTTTTACAGACGTGTATCAATCAGATATGATTATTTACGTCTGGGATCGACCTTTAAATGTCACCATCCGAAAGACGTGACTCAGTTTCGAACCTGCGTCCTCGGCTGAATCAGTTTGTAACTTCCACTTTTTAGCTGGATTACAGGCGCACGCCACAACGCCTAGTTTATATTCATATAGCAGCTGCGCTTTATAAATGGGCCTATTATTAATTTTTTGTAGTTAAGAATTCTGATAAAAAGTAGGAGTACGATATGGATGCGTCATTGTATACAAATATCAGAGCTGCCAACCATTCTGTTTTTCCTGGAATTACTCCGTTTTTTCTTCCAAATTACAGTATTACGTTTTTTCTTCATAAAATACGTTTTTTAATTTTTTTTTTTTTTTTTTTTTTTTTTTTTTTTTTTTTTTTTTTTACATACCGCACGTCAAACAACTGCCCTCAAATGGTGATTTGATCACAAATTCAATAGAAAATTAATTTAAAACATACTTGAAGAGAAAAATATCATTAAAAAAAATGAAATGCCGATATTACCAAAATAATCCTCAAAAAAATTACCTGCTTGTATGGTAAAAACAGCATGATGAATGAACATTTCTGCAATGGAAGTGTGTCGCGCATGGTTGTAAGTTTTGTTTTCATGAATTCCTTTTGTTTAGCTTGAAATTCCTTTTTTTTAGCTTGAAATTCCTTTTTTTTTGCCATCATGATTCCTTTCTTTGGTCGCATCTGAATACCTTTCGAGGGTCTAGCAAAAACTATGAGCTAATTCTGAGGCATAAATAGTAACTTTCCTGAGAGCAAATTTTTATCAAATTTACCTCAAGGGAAAGTTACTATTTATGCCTCAGAATTAGCTCATACTTTGCTAGAGCCAAGAAAGATATTGTATATCTGTTTTATATCCCTCATGAGCATCTCACTATTATACAAAGCTCAATACTGCGGCTCGGCCTAAATGCACGACGTGAGTTGCCCGCTAGAAGCATTTGAAATCCTGTATGCTCGCTGAAATCTGCCAGTATGAAGAAATTAAAGAAATTTAGATATCGATCGCAGAAATAATGGATTCTGTAATGTACTATACCATGCCAAAAGGAGATTATCTCCCGCTCTCAAATTTATAGTGCTCTGTACAATCGTAATGCAAAAAATATACATCAGGGATATAATATTAGCTATTTACTGTAAAATATATTTCCTTTATATATAATTTACCAAAATTTATTTTCAATTACAGAGATTATCTTCTAGCTGAGTACGCTGATAAGAAGCAGGATTACCACACTTTAAATGGAAATGTCATGATATTAACTATTTACTATACCGGTATATCTATCTATCTATCTATCAGGTTATAGTTCATCCAGACGTTGGACAAAGCCCTCCTCATGAAATTCCCATTCTCTTCTGTCTCTAGCTGTCCTAGTCCAAGCGGCCGTTCCCATGTATGATGTTAGGTCATCTCTCCATCTTCTCTTCTGCCTTCCTCTTCTTCTCTTTCCCACCCTTGGTTGCCATTCTGTTAAACGATTTGTCCATCTATTGTCCTGAAGTCTTGCTACATGCCCAGCCCATCTCCACTTTGATTCTCTGACTTTCTCCATGATATCTTTGACCTTTGTTTTCTGGCGTATGACTTTGTGGTTGATTTTGTCTCGCAGAGATAAATGCGACATCTTTCTCTCCATAGCTCGTTGAGTAGTCACAAGCTTCTGTTCTAGATCCTTTGTCAATGACCACGTTTCTGATCCATATGTCATAGTTGTTAGAATGCATTGGTTGAACATTCTTCTTCTTAGTGACATGGGTATCTTTTTATCGGTCAACATGTCTTTGTATCTTCCAAAGTTCATCCATCCTGCTTTTACTCTCATCATAACTTCTTCTTTTGTAGTGTCCTCCATTTTCAAAGGTTGTCCCAGATACCGGTGTATACTTCCTTTATATATAATGCCCTACTATATATTATTTCAATTACAGAGATTATCTTCTAGCTGAGTACGCGGATAAGAAGAAGCAGGCCTATAGTTTGGAGGGATGGTCATATTACTCAGAGAAGGGCAATCCTCAACAGCTCAATGGGTCCGATTGTGGGATGTTCTCCTGCAAGTATGCAGAATATATCTCACGGGATGCTCCCCTTTCCTTCACACAGGTAAGATATTATGATGATGATGATGATGATGATGACAGTTATAATAACGAAAATGATCAGGGGAGTGTGTCACAAAGACTAAGATCAACTTTAAGTTGAACTTAACTATGGCAGGCCTTTCATGCCACTAGTTCCTCTAACCATTCCTGGCATTGGTTTCTCAAGGGCTGACAAATAGTGGTCACAAATCTACAGAATTTACCTTTTTCATAGCCCATTATTGAAGGAAAATTTATTATCTCAAAGATCATAATTGAGAGACCAATGGTGAGAGCAAACAGTGTCATGAATGGCCTGCCATAGTTAATTCAAACTTAAACATTTGTAATTTTTATGTGAAAAATATGTGAAAATTGATTTGTCCCACTTTATGTTTCTTTAGAATATAATACGATAAAATAAAGCTTATATTCAAAAGTATTTAACAGAGGCCCTAATTCAACCAGTCCACCTTACATTCTTGATTTACAATTCTTGAAAAACACCAAAAAACAAACAAACAGGGGATATGAATAATTCAGTTGTTCACTGTAATACATGTAGCAGCCATGCTAAGCCAATGGGTACCGGAGCCCCTAGAGTGGTAAGAATGACAGTTACAAGCACCATATAAGAATCCACTGTCATAAATTGAACCATTATCCAAATGAGGGTTAGGAAATCGCTACCCTGTCATTAGCTCCTGCTGCCACTATCAGGGGATAGCGGCGAGGAATAGAAACAAGGAATAGATCACAGCATTTCCTAAACATGGGTTGAGGGAGACAGCAGTGAACAAAATGGCTCGCCCAAGGACATATGATTAATTCAAAATCTGTGCATTTTAGTTGAATGTGCGAATGAACTTTATTCCATGCTGCTCCCAGTACAATTCCTGTATGTAATAATGAGGAAGACTCTAAAATACAGTGAAACTGATTTGCCTATAACGATGCTGCATTTTTATTTTCATTCCATACTTCATAATTCATAATCCATAATTCATCTTTGCTTCTGTTTACCTTCTGACAGCATGACATGCCCTACTTCAGGAGAAGGATGGTCTGGGAGATACTTCACATGACCTTGCTGTGACCTTCACTGCATGTTGACCTGCAGGAGACCCGAGGCAGGTAACACATGCCCTCACTGTGACATCCACCATGACATTCATTGCAACCTTCACAGTGACTTTCATCATGATCTTCACAGTAACCTTCATAGAGTCATTTACTGTGATATGTTAGTGACATTCACAACGATATGACCTTGTTGTGACCTTCACTGCATGTTGACCTGCAGGAGACCCAAGGCAGGTAACACATGCTCTCACTGTGACATCCACCATGACATTCATTGCGACCTTCACAGTGATTTTCATCTGAATCTTCACAGTAACCTTCAGTGTCATTTACTGTGACATGTACAGTGACATTCACAACGACCTTCATGGTGACCCTCACTGATATTCAGTTACCTTCACAGCGACCTTCACAGCGACCTTCACTGTGCTCTTCATGGTGACTTTCACAGCGGAGCTCTCTGATTTGACCTATTGGTTCTAGATGCTGATGACTATTAACTGTCAAAGTGACTTTCAAGCAATGAGTATATTTGATCTCTCTTGTCATTTGACTGTCATTACAAACCAAGAGCAGTGTGATTCAAGCAGGACTGGACGCTGGAAACAAAATGGGGTCATCGGACTGGATGATTCTGTGATTGCATGGAAATTGTATATAGTGTAAATCTTGAGCACAGATATCAAAGTAGTGGGAAGATGAAACTTTTATGTCTCTCTCTATCTCTCCCCCTCACTTTCCCTCTCTCTCTCTCCCTTTCTCTCTCTCCCTCCCCTCTCTTTCTCTCTCTCCCTCTTTCTCTCTCTCTCTCCCTCTTTCTCTCTCTCTCTCCCCCCTTCTCTCTCCTTTATAACAAAAGGAAAAGAGGAATAACTTAAACATACATCTTTTATAAAGAAAGAGACAATTTAATCAAGCATGATTGAACTCAACTTGATAACAAAACTGTATATTTCTGAATTGTATATCATCAAGGTATTCCTCCATTGTTGCATGTTGCAAAGGGGAATAGACTAATTGGGTAGTAAACGAACAGGTTGTAGACCAAACGACAATTTGTCGTTGCTAGAGCCATCTTATATGCAAAGTCACTTTTAGTGTTTGCAACAGAATTAAAGATGCACTCAAATCAAAGATGAAATAGATTCAGGATTGTTAATTTTCAGTTCAAATTAACTTATAACTCAATGAAATGATCATGATTTCCTTCGACCTTGTCCAATTTAAAGTGGATCAAATGATGGTTTTTCAGATGAATGGTCACAACTAAATTTGTTTAATTCAGGGGTGTTATTCATGAAGCATGGGGTCAGCTTGAAATGAGTGGACTTCGTATCACACACCCAAGAGGGCGACAGTTATTGATAACAGGTTTTATGAAACGGGGCTCAATTATGATTGTCTAGTTTTACTGGGTAGCAATGAAATTGCTTCTTTTATCAGATCCTTGTTTAATCAAAGCTAAATAAAACAATAGTATACATAGAAGTAAAATAGGTAGAATTACCATATGCCATGTTTAATGAGAGTGTGATCTCCTTGTAAGGAGGCACCACTCTGTCAGTACCATAAAGAATGTCGAAAGCTGAAATGGATTTTAAGTTTTTCAACCAAAATACCACATTCAGTAATCTGTCTGATATTTCAATAAAAAATGGTATCTATTGACAAATTTAAACGTCATCATTCAAGGTGAAATCTGCAGTGTATACAAAAGAACAAGCATGAAAAAGGGGGCTTTGCATTAGGAGAAACGATTTACATGATTGGCATTGATAATAACCACAAATTTTATACTCTACAATGTAGTGCTACATCATCATAGAGATTAAATTGCGGTAAAAGAGGGGTTTTTCACAAAGGATTTATTTATTTCGAAATTCTCATGATTACCACATATCTCTTTGCCATGATATGCAATATCAAGCAAGGAAGCCAACAGTATATAAAAGAAGTTCCCAACATGTGTACATAATTAAAATGAAATGGTTAACCACAATGTTTCAGGGTAGTAATTCTACTTCTAACTTATCCATAGGTGCATGATAATCATAAAAGGAATTCAGAGAATGTATATACATGTATAACACATGTATTTGTACCTTTCCAGCAATTAATATCGGGCCTGTTCACACATACCAATGAGTGCTATTTGGATCGCGATGCAAACATCATTTTTTTTTGTGTGACCGTTCACACATGTCAATTTAGTGCGAATTGGATGCAAAGATTGATTTTTGGGGGGCGGCCATTCATACACAGAAAATTCTCGCTCAATGGCAAGAACGTCCAAAATACCCGTGCATAAATCTCGACGTTGTACAAGTGCTTGGAATCCAGGGATTAAATAAGGTAATATTTTATTCTCAACATCATTCACACACTCAGCAGACGGTAAACTATCATGATTATTCTGAAAAATAGCTAGACTTACTGCAAATTGTATCGCTATGAGAATCGCAAAGATTAATGCAATAATTCTGTCCACACATGCAAAAAAATAGTTTAGGATCGCGATGCAAAAACCAATTTTGAAATCTCACTTTTTTCTGTAGGTGTGAACGCCCATATCACCTTGAATTACATTCAAGGTTAACATCCGACCTTGTTTATTGCCTATTTCATTCCCTACCCACTAACTTATTTGATTTAACTTTACTTGATCTAACTTAATTTATATTTCAGTATTCTCTGGCTCTTCTTTATGCAATCATGCAAACATTGCCTATCTCCAGCTGGGTCCTAGCAAATTCATCTCATAAAAAGAAAATCATTTGCAAAGACTTCAGCTTTCCAGGAAATTGTAATTCAGGAAGGGTGTGGTGCATTGTGAGCTTAATCTAACTTGATGGAGGTCTTGGGTCATTTTTATTATTATTATTATTGGGTTCAGTTGAATAGATAATTTCCTCTGTTTGGAGCAAGAAGGGCATTAATTCAAAACAATTTACAGAGTGTTAAAGAGAAGGTTGAGTTTAATATGGGGAGAGGTGAAAAATAATTTGTGAGCGTTATCATTGTTATTATGCAAGTATGGAAGAACATCAGAGAAAAAATGTTCCCTGAAAAGCGTGGCTCTACAAATGCCTTCATATTCTAAATATGATAAGTAACAGCTTAAAAATGAGACCCGATTTTTATGCCACATGTTCATGTAGTCACAGTGCTTGTTACTTTACCGAGACGGGCCAATTTTCTTATTATTTTGATGATTCCAGAACCTTGCAGTACACCCCAATACTTATATGCTAGGTGATCAACCTTTTCTGATCAATTCCACACCGTTTCTTACACAATGCAATCCCATCATGACCAGAACTCAACTTTATCTTTAACTCCCTTTTTGCTCCACACAGATAATTTATGCTAAATTGATGGTCGTTTAAATCATTGCGCCTCATAACTCCATACAATATGGGCGTAAATTCAGGTCATGATATTGGCATCTTTGCAGCTCTTTTCAGTGAATCTTTGCCTATAAATTGATGAAAATCGTATATCTAAAATGGTATTTCCAATCTCAAAAATGATGTTGGATAAAAAATAGAAACCATACGATATTCTGTGCAGAAGACACCTCCCACACTGATTGACAATTGACATCATGGATTGATGGAATAAAACAATTAATTAAGGGTAGTGGTGCTAGTAGAGTTTGACACATAGAAGAAACTCATATCTATCAGATATTGCCAATCGTAAATGTATGTATACATTCAGTAGAATGTGATATCATTTGATTGATACGAGAGAGAGAGAGAGTAAACAAATATTGTACAATAAATGCACAAACTGATAAATTTTGTCTGTTTCTTCTTTATTTTTTGTTTATCTTTCTACTTGCCATCAAGCAGTACAAGAAGTAAAGTTGTGAGAATTTCTTTTTATAAGAGGAGTATAACACAGGACTATTCAGTTCTGGACACTGGTATTTTTTTTCTTCAGTTTCATTCATTTCTCCTCAAGAGATCAACAGATAAAAGTACATGTATAAACAGACAAATGTATGACAATACATCAGATGAATTTTAAAAGTGAGGAAGGCAGTGGCCCAAAAGAAAACAACCTTTTAAGAGGCCAACCCTTTAAGAAAACAAGATATAATATGTAACATAAAAAACATCAAAAAGGAACATAAAATATGAAGAGGAAAGAAGTACCTAACCTAATAAACAAACTAACAAAAGAGCGTAATATTGAATCTAATATTTAGATAATAAATATACTTTATATTTCCTTCTAAAAAAAATATATATGCAGCACATGTACGTGTACTTTGCGAAAATAATTCGGCTAATCTCTCGCGTCATTGATTGAATAGATGAGAGCTTTCAAGAAAGAAGACTTATCTGGGATGTCCCTGTAGCTGCATTTCAACATACACATCAGAACCTCGTGGAAGGTAGGATGCCTCAAAGCATATAAGATCGGATTGACGCATACATTACACAGGAAGAGAATGGTAAACCAAGGAACAGCAGGGTCGCTGGTTGGTATGAGGTAGGAGACGGCTGGAGGCATCACGCAGATTGTATAGACACAGACAATGATGAAGAGGTTGATGGTTATCTTGCGCTGTTGCTTGTAGCGAACTTCCTGACTCTCCCTTGCCAGTGTGTCTCGAGTGATGATTTGAACTGTTGGTTGCGTCGTCGGGCCGGAAGGCGATATGGTTGTGGATCCGGTTCGGTCTGGATTTAGCGCTTGAGGGGCTTTCGAATGTTTCCCATTTTTCATTGGTTCAATTTCATGAAGCTCTTCTGCGTCAGACGGCTCTGTTAAGATTTCCCGATCTTCAGGGGGCGAGGTTTTGATGCCGTCACTTTCATCAAACCCAGGATTGATGGTACCATCGTTAGGAGCATCTGGTTGTTCTTTCGACAAATCCTCAATGATTGTGATGTTGACTTCGCTATCTCCATTTGTCATTGGTTCAATTTCATGAAGCTCTGCTGCGTCAGACGGCTCTGTTAAGATTTCCCGATCTTCAGGTGGCGCGATTTTGATGCCGTCACTTTCATTAAATCCAAGATTGATGGTGCCATCGTTGGGAGCATCTGGTTGTTCTTTCGACAAATCCTCAATGATTGTTATGTTGACGACTTCGCTATCCGTCGTCGAAATCATGACCGAAGGGGCCATGATGGCGTTCATCTCTTGTTGATGACACCTGAACATTTTGAAGATATTGAAATAGCAGACGATGATGACGATAAAGGCGGGAAACTGAATGAGGAGACACACCGTCAGGGTTAGATAGTCTGAATTTTCATTCTCTGTATTCTGCGCGCATACTTTGTACTGAAGAGCATAGCCAAGGGACCCAACGTCCAGTGGTAATATGATAAACATGAGAATAATTGGGTAGAGCCAGGTAAAGGAAACCATTATCACGATATTCCGAGTGCTAAATGCGTTGTTGAATTTGGGTTGGGGTTTCAAAATGGCGTTGAGGACGGTGAAGCGATGGAAGGCGATCGCGGCTAAGGTAACAACGCTACATCCAAGTGTGGTGAGGGTGGCTGCTGCTACGAACTGGCAGAGCAGCTCCGGGATGTAACAACTTGATTTATTCAAGAGCGTGGAGGCGTGAACAGGGAGGAACATAGCTGTCAAAAAGTCTGCGACGGCCAAGTTGATGACGAAAACATTTGTGGTGTTCTGAAGTCGTTTGGAGAGGATGACGGCGGCGACGACGAAGAGATTTCCAAGGATTCCGATCAGGAAGATGACGAGGACTAGGAGAGCTAAGATGACACGGGGAGCGTAGTCGTGTAGAATGTACTCACCAGGTTCAATGTTAAAAGTCATGTTACAGACGGTGATCTTGTCCTGTCCTGTCCCTTCATCATAAACAAAATAATCGTCTGGTGACATAGTTGTAGAGATTCGTTGTCAGTGACCCCAATGCTCAATCTTTGCTTTGATATCCCGAATGAGGTTTCAAAGGGATTGTGTCGTGAGGATTTTGGCTATGACTGCAGAGATGTAGTCAAACAACGTTCTACGTTGTCTTCGTCAGATAGTCCTCCACTTGATTCGTTGGAAATTTAAAGAACTCTTGTCCTCGGATCGTCACAGGTGATCTTCCTGTGAAGTAAATAAGAACGTTTATTATAGAGGGAGGTATGAATGGGGAATACAAGAAAAGTATACTCAGTACAAAACATGTAAAAAGAACAGATTCAAGAAAAGCCTATAGCCATATCTCGGAGACTTACTGAACAATGAATGATTGCGGGTGTTCGTTCAGTTAAATACGTGAACAACCAAGTTAAACTATTATACATGCTAACATGTAGTTTTTAAAGCCTCTGCCAACCTTAAATTATACATACTGCTTGCCTCACAAATGCACGAAAAACCAGCAGTCAATTATCATCCATAATATACGGTTTGATGTTACCTGAAAGTGTATTATCTGTATTAGTCTAGTCATGACTTTGTACAACAATTTATTCAACGTTGCTTTACCCCATAAGCCTTAGGAAAAACTAATCAAGGAATCTATGTTGATAGTAATCACCCCTGATAATCATCTTGAGTAAAATGTGCGGAGATATACGGGTAGAATTACTTTTTGGCTAATACCATCGTAATGACAGTCACAAATATTATGACATATAAACACATTAAAAGCACAAACTGTCTTACCATAATAGTCTTTTGCGTCGTTACAGAGACATCGATCGTCGGAGACGGTTCCAAATTGTAAAAACGGAAGAGCCGCCAGTAGAAGTACAACAGAAGCAGAAGTAGATTATAAATAACACACAATATTTTACATGTATTAGTTCCGACTTGTTTTTAATGGACAGTAATACACCACAAGTCATGACCTGCAGTCCTGCACAAATACATCTTTACTCTTCTGTATCGGCTTTCCCCACAAATTGTATTCAGATCGCCTGTTTGCTTCAGGAGCTAACCCACACAATACAAGTAGGCCTATCATTGCAGAATTTGGAGCTCAATACAAATAGTGTGTATTGAAATTCTTTGTACTTGAATGGTAGAAACACCAAACTCTTTCATTTTGTCCATGCTGCATTTACGCCCAGTCAAGCGGATCTTTCATGACACATATCGTAGAATATTATTATGATTCAGTTGAATGAGGAGTAATTCAATGGTTTCCAGAGAGAGGTCGACCGATATATAGAGATAGAGAGACAGAGAGAGAGAGAGAGAGAGAGAGAGTTGGGGGGGGGGGGGGGGGGGGGTCGAATGTCCGAAGGGAAATTCCACATTTTAAAAGTTAGTGCAACCCGTATAAATGAATCATTTTACATTCAACAAAATGTATTAATTATCCTATAAAAAGGAGAAGACGAGAAGAAAAAAAAGAAAATGAAGAAGGATATCAAGAAATATGAGAAGTACAAGGAGAAGAAAGAAGAAGGAAGAGAAGGAGGAGGAGGAGAAGAATTACAACAGCAACAACAACAAGGAGAGGGAGAACAAGATTATTTTTTTAAAGAAGAAATTACGAGTTTTACTGTATGGGTAAGTTCAAACTTACACGTATAGGCCAGCTACGGAAAGACACTTTGGGTTCTAGGACACCTACCCCCTGAACATCCACCCCCGGATAACCGCCCGAGTCAACTACCCCCTAGGACAACTACCCCCTAGGGCAACCAACCTCCAGGACAACTACCCCCTAGGGCAACTACTCTCTAGAAATACTACCCCCGGGTCAACCCAGACAACTACCCCCGGACAGTGTCATTTACTGTGACATGTACAGTGACATTCACAACAACCTTCATGGTGACCCTCACTGATATTCAGTGTGACATTCATTGCTACCGTCACAGTGACTTTCATCTTGATCTTCACAGTAACCCTCACAGTGTCATTTACTGTGACATGTACATTGACATTCACAACGACCTTCATGATGACCCTCACTGATATTCAATGTGACATTCATTGCTACCTTCACAGTGACTTTCATCTTGATTGTTACAGTAACCCTCACATTGGCATTTACTGTGACATGTACAGTGACCTTCACAGCGACATTCATGGTGACCTTCACTGATATTCAGTGACCTTCACAGTGACCTTCACAGTGACCTTCACAGCGACCTTGAGATCTTTATGGTGACTTTCACAGCGGAGCTCTCTGATTAGACTTAATAAGATGCTGCTGACTATGAACTGTCAAAGTGACTTTCAAGCAATGAGCGCACTTGACCTCTCTTGTCCTTTGACTGTCATTACAAACCAAGAGCAGTGTGATTCAAGCAGGACTGGACGCTGGAAACCAAATATGGTCATCGGAATGGGTGATTTCGTGATTGCATGGAAATTGTAAAATAGTGTAAATCTTGAGTACAGATATCAAAGTAGTGGGAAGATGAAACTTGTCTTTTATGTGTCTCTCTCCTCCCCCCCTCCCCCCTCTCTCTCTCTCTCTCTCTCTCTATCTCTCTCTCTCTGAGTCTCTCTCTATTTTTATATACTTTTCTTTCTCTTTCTTTCTTTCTTCTCATCTTCTCTAGACTAGTTATCATCTACTCATAATGGGTAAATTCCATTATGTGCAAAAGGGAGATAAGATTACGATTTGGAAAAAGAGAATGACGATGATGATGTTGCAGTCGTTGATGATGTTGATGATGATGACCAATATGACAATCATGTCCAAACAGGTTTTAGGACTAATACGTATACTTAAACTATAGTTGCTAGCTATATTTTGAAAAAATGGATATTTGCAATGTTAGATCTCTTTATCCACGTTCACACATTTATATCGTCAAATTATTTGAGGAAACAATTCCCTCTGCAGACAATAGTTGGTACGAACCGCAGGAGCGTATAATAAATTTCTCAAGATACGCTGTTAAAAAACCCTTCTGAGCCCGTTCAATCAAACAGTGGCATATTTAGTGATGGCCTATATCGTATCCGAACACTTACCCCTGGACATTCACCCCCGGATAACCATCCCCAGTCAACTACCCCCTATATACATGTAGGACAACTACCTCCTAGGGCAACCACCCTCTAGGACGACTATACCCTCGAGACAACGACTCCCTAGGACAACTTCCCCCTAGGACAACTACCCCCGGACAACTACCCCCAGTCAACTACCCCCTATAGGACAACTACCTCCTAGGGCAACCACCCTCTAGGACGACTACCCCCGGTAAAACTACCCCCGGACAACTACCACCAGACAACTACCCCATAGGACAACTACCCCCTAGGACAACTACCCCGGACAACTACCCCCAGTCAACTACTCCCTATAAGACAACTACCTCCTAGGGCAACCACCCTCTAGGACGACTATCCCCGGGAAAATTACCCCCGGACAACTACCACCAGACAACTACCCCCTAGGACAACTACCCCCTAGGACAACTACCCCGGACAACTACCCCCAGTCAACTACCCCCTTGGATAGGTGTCCGGGTTACGTTGTCCCAGGGGGTAGTTGTCCTAGAGGATGGTTGCCCCAGGGGGTAGTTGTCTTAGGGCGTAGTTGTCTGGTGGTAGTTGTTGGCTGGGGGTGGTTATCCGGGGGTGGATGTCCAGGGGGTAGGTGTTCTAGAACCGGCCTATATATCGAGAAGACCTGTATCATGGGAGGGGGTTAGTCTGCAAGCACAAACCCTGGTCAGTCGTAAAAGTGAGTCTGCACTATAAGACTACCATAGGCCATGCACTGTAGCTGCTCCTGACAACCAGTAGGTAGCTGGGCTAGGCTTCTCTCAAGACACAATGATTTTTTGATAAAGTGCCAAATTAGGGTCTGTGCTTGCAGACTAGAAGGGGTTGGGTCAGATATCTTATTCTATGGGCTTTTTTTTTCTCTCTCTCTCTCTCTCGCCCATTGGAAAGCAATTGGAGAGGGGGGGGGGGGGGGGGTTGCATTGGCCACATATGCCACTGCGAACAAGAGCTATATAGTCCAGATTCTACGGTCTGTTTTTATATACTTTTAATTCTTCAGTCATCTATGTCCTCCTCCATTCCAACTCCCTGCTTTAATACACACATTCCACATACACCCATCGAAAATGAGAGGCAAGGACTGTCTTCGGTTTAGTACGGAAGCCCATTAGTGCCACCTACGAAATAAATTTAAGAGAAATTATCTGGCGGCCGCCAGTTAATTATCTGGCGGCCGCCACTTAATTATCTGGCGGCCGCCACTTAATTATCTGGCGGCCGCCAGTTAATTATCTGGCGGCCGCCAGATAATTATCCGTGTCTTCACGGTTGTTTCATCGCAAAGCATGCCGGGACATAATTCTAGTACATTTTTACCTTCGCCGTGATCAGCTGTCCCGTTGCAAACAACGGGATTCTTATCGAAGCAACATCTTAATCTTGTACATAATCCGCTATTCTGCAGTGATTTTCTTTCACTCCAGTATCGTTTGTACGGTAAGAAACCAAAGTTTGTGTTTATTCATTTTTATGACGAATAAAGCTGATAATACGACGTAATGCATGAGAGTGGGCCGGGTCAAGCTTTACTAAATGTAGGCCTAGACCTCTAGATCTAGTCCCGTATGTTTAAATGTGTGTGCATTTTAAGTAGACTGATTGCCTTGTGTCTATCTTGATCTGAATATAATAGTCTATGTATTGATGAGCTCTACTTGAGGATCTACATGACAGGGGCGTATGAAGGAATTTTTCGAGGGGGGGGGGGGTTAAAATTTGAAAATCGTGCCGAAAATTTCACATCGACTCAGCCAGCCGGAGAATGAGAGGGGGGGGGGGGGGGGGGGGGGGGGTCGGTTAGAGCATCTATTTTTTCCCGAAAATATGAATTTGGCAGACCGATAATTTGTTCAGTTGATGGTAAGGTCACCTTTTTGGGTCACCCTTTAGCATAAAAATATTTC